GAGCACAGGTGGTGGTTACAAAAGACAAGAACCACAAAACGAGAATGGCTATAGACTATTCACAAACAATCAACTACTTTACGCTGCTGGACGCAATCTGATTGTGAGATAATTAACATCAATCGCCTGATGATCATACGCTGTATGTGAAACACTGTGTAGCGATGAAATAAAATTTTAAGATTGTAATTTGTTATTTTTGTTTTTTATATAGAATATAGAATGTATATATATATATATATAGGCTGTATAAAAAAAAGGTAATCGAACTTCAGCACGCTATTATAAGTGAATTACTTGGCATATATCCAGCAGATAGTGATTTTTTCAAGCTTTGTTAAATCAGTCGTTGATTGGTATAACTCATATTAAGTTTAGTATTTATAAGTTAAATGTTTTTTATACTTCTTGTGTCATCTATATCCATAGCTTCAGAGTTTTTCAAGCATTTTCCAAAGGTCGAAAAAATCATTATCCAGTGGATAGCGCTACCCGACCTTCGTACAACCGGCCACTGGTTTTCATATTCGGAAAGATCAGGTTTTTAGCTATTGAATGACATGCTTTTTATGTCAAGTGGAGAAAAAATAAGCATGTATGAGGCCGATTAAAAATGTTAGTCAAAATCGCATATTTTCACCTCTGTGCCTAATTAAAACAATGCATAACAAAAGAAAAAGTAATTAATCACGAACGTGTCGTAGCTTATCTAAGATTTATTCCTACTTAATAATAATTATGAATATGTGCATCGTTTATTGAAGTAAAATTCATCAAATTAAGTACCAAAGGGGGTTCATTTTCAATGGTTTTAGACCCAACTCTCAACAGTGAAAATATGCAATCCTGGCTAACATTTCTTATTGGATTCGTATTTGCTCATTTTTTATCCATTTGGCATGAAGAAGATATCATTCCACAGCTAAATCCTATATATATATATTTCCAATGCCTTTTCCAATATCGTTATATATTTACTCCTTTTCTTCTTCCAAATTTGCATATTCTCTTTCCATTCTTTTACATCCTCTTGTATAGCTCTTATTAAACTTGTGAATAGAACTCTTTTATCCAAGTCCATTCTAGCCCTCCCCCTACTCTTTTTATAAAGCTGGGCCACAACTCCTATGACCTTCGATAGGGATTCATTAACTTTATTTCTTATCATTTTATCTGCTGTAACTACGAAAAATCCACCGGGAATACAGTATTCTAAAAGATCAACGTAACTCACATATTTGCATTGATCTGCTGTTGAAGTGGGCAGTGAACTTGATGATGATGATGTCTGGGCAGTCTGGCCTTCAGTCATATCTTGGTCACTCGTCTCGGCCATTTGGGTTGATTTTGCCGGTATAACATAGCCTTGCACTATTCCATGCCATTTCCTTAAAAGGGGATACTGTATGTATCCAGTTGTACAAATGATCTTTTTCCATGTGTCTTAAGCGCATACCTAAATTCCGGTTCACTAATTTTGCGTAGGTTGAGTCACAATAATGATATTAATGAAGCTTTACATTTGCTTATGTGCTTCTGTGCAGGTCAACTAATATAAATTTGACTGCAAATATAATGTGTCACAACTATTCCCACAAATTTTGCGAAATGTATTGTAGTGGTTGAAGCTCCACAAATCTTAAATTAAAGGTTATATAGTGGTGTCTTGGAAAATTTGTATTATGCATGTTTATGAGTAGCGCAATATTGTTCCATTCTTGCGTCTCTATTTGTCTGTGAAATTATCGCAAACTACATGCGAACACATGCTTATTGTGTTCCTACAAAATAGTTAAGTTTACCTCCAAAATCTGTATACATTGTTTACATGTTTGCCTTAGCCCGCATGCAGGCCCAAGGGAACTGATAGTGGGCCTGCAAGCAAGGCCCGGTATTTTGAAAAACGCCCCTTTTCATAACACGCCCCTTTTCATAACACGCCCCATTCGCATGTCAATTGTCAAAAAAGAACCAATGGCAGCACCCAAATATTAACAAACAAACTCGCATTAAAATGTTGCAGGGTTTTCTCTGCTTATTCAGAACATAAACAATGTGTAAATGGCTGCGTTTTAACTCCAAAAAAGCAAGCAATGCAGTCAGTAATTGCCAAATTTGCAAGTGCTCATTTTCAACTAAAAGCAGAACAGGCAAATTAGGACGAATTTGAACAGAAAACCAGTCTCGAACTTCAAATTGTGAGGGAAGTTGTGCGACCACATTAGCATTTATAATGTGTGCTTCGCTGTCGCCATTGTTATAAATAAATTGTCTCACTTATCAGATTGTGTGTGCAATTCTTGTTGGCGGCGGAAAGTATGAAATTTACTTCAGTTATTTCATTTGGTAAAGAACTCTACAAAAGAAGAGAGACTTCAGAGTTCAGATCGTTTCGTTTCAAACGGCAATTTAATACCGTCACTTTAATACCGTCTTCTGTTTTGCTCTCTCAGCGAAGCCTTGTAAATCGCAAAGTGTTTCGAATAGGCTTACATGCAACTGCATCTCAACATCAACCAAAAGATCATTTTCTTGAGGAACATATAACGTATCAAGTCTGTTTGAAATTAATGAAACTCAAGTGTATTATAAAAGGCTCTGTGGTAAAGGTTACTATAGTTTACTCCAGTCGTAATGTTGCTATTCCAACACCTCACGACAAGCAATCCCCATTGGCATAACGGCAAAACATCTCTTCCTTCAAGTAAACAATAAACAGTCTGTTCTTGTTCCATTTGTAATCGAAAAAAGTGATCAATTTTCGAATTTTAAGCTTATCGAGAGCCTTTGTCTATGCCTTTGTGATGAATCACTGACCTAATTATAGACTCCAACAGCAAACAGCCAATC